ATATAGTGTGAAGAACTGCATTTTACTTTGTGTGGATATATGCACATGTACATGAAGGGAACTGGATTATGGAGCAATACCTTTGGCCAGATTAATCATTTGCATTCTTGGTTGCCTTTCTGATTTGGCAAAGGGGAAAATGTCTCACTGTAGCAATCCCTTCTACTTTAAGATCCAGATGGGAATAAGATATCAACTCCTTGCATAAATGTAATATTTCTGCCAACTGTACGGAGTGTAATAGTTCTATAGCTGTCAGAATTTGCAAGTAGATAGGAAGTGAGATCATTGATTAAAGACAGAAGCAGCTCCCTGTAGGCAGTTAGTTAATAATAACTTCATATGCCACTTTTCTGCTAACCCAAGATGATGGCTCACAGGAGCATTCCTTTATTGCTGATTAAGTAGCATTATGAAAATACTGACTTCGCTGTGTTAACTAAATGCCTTGGTATTTAAAGCTTAGAATGTCAAATAGTTGTACCAATCCCCTTTAACATATCATATAGACTTTTGGTAATCACATTCTACTTGAAATGATTGTAGAAATTGCAAGCTTTTCTTCCTTTTTTCATTTTACAAAGTGATAGGTAGCCAAAATTGTGGTTTAATTATTGCCGTCCAAGTTGTAGTTAAAGTACCGTCAACCTTTCTATTATAGCCCATTTTATTTTTTAGGATTTATAATATACTTTTGAAAAGTTTTTCTTGGGCTAAAGTATGAGTAGAAAGGTCTTGTAAGTATTCAATTTTTTCTCCAAAGCAAGTATTTCAAAGCTCCTTTTTCTACACACTTAACCTTTATATTTAAAAGAAACAGAGGGGAGAGGAATGAGATAAGTTTTAGACTTTTTTTCCCCCATTACATTTGTGTAAAAGAACTCAAGATAGCATACATTGCTTCCAATTTATCCTCGCAACAAACCCATGAAATAGGCTGAGATATACTAAATGGACCTCAGTCAGTAAGTTTCATAACTCTGCAAATTTGAATGTAGGTTTTCCCAGTTCTTAATCCATGACTTTGAAATGGGTGGGTTGCATGCAATCTCTGGCACTTATTTTTGCAGCTTTTTGAGATTTCAGCTGCAGTTTTTAATGGGAAAGAAAATTAAACTGCCAAGATGTTTAATATATTCAAAAAACAGGAGGTGGGGAAATTTATTCAAGAAGAAAAGAGGCTGAAATTAAGGCTGTGCAAAGCCTTCAAAAGAGATATTTTGCAATCCACAGCTCAGCAAAGCATCTGTGTATGCACGCATAAATAGAGACAGCCAGAAGTAGCTTTTAAAGAAGCCTATGAGCCTGGCAAATGACATGGCTGCTTTAATGACTCCAGAGGAGGTGCTTTGTACATGCTGTTGTATATTGAGAAGCACCTCTTTTGAAAGCTTTACACAGCCCAGTTAAAATTTTGCCTTCTCTCCTTTGGTGATATCATTTGGAAACATAACCTGATTCTCTGTTGTCTCCAGCTGCTTATTTGTTTTTTAATATAATCCAAAAAAGCTGCCCATTCCTGCTGTATAAGATCTAAAATATTCCGATTATTGAGTCTGTGCTGTGGTCAGAATGGTATGTTGATCTGGCCTGACTTCACTCATACTCCATGATTTGATCATTTGGTTATTCTGAAGGAAGACCTATAACAAAGCACTTCGTTGTTATTCCAAAAAGTAGCATCTTTGAAGTCATACTTCTTACTGTTACATCCCAAAATTTTAATTTTAATGTAAAATATATTTGCTCTAGTTTAGCTTAGAATAAAGTGTGTTTCAGCTAAAGGAGAAAAGCTTAAATTAGATGAATTAAGTAGGCAGTAATTCATTTATTTGTCATTCATGCATATGTCAAAGAAAAGCAGCATAATTAATTATTAACTCATTAATACTAGAAAGAAATGTCCATTAATTCTTAATATTGCCTAATGATGGAAGGGCACATGGTCTGTATGCAAAGGATACTCAGATCAGTTTGCACATCTTTATGTATAAGGCTGAGACTAATCTCTTTGTTAGGGTGTATGAATTGACTCCCATCTAAATCATTAATTTAAATCAGAAAATCAAGTTGATTCGGTTAGATGTTTCAAATCGTATTGCAGCAATTGAGTTTGAAAAGTCAGTTTGACTCAGATTTGAATCAAAGTTTTGCACAGGTCTACTTTCTGAAACTCTAGTAATATATTTCCCAGATTAGGTAGATTCCAGTAAAGATAAGGCAGCTTCTTATGTTTGTGTAATTTACTAGAATAAAAGCTGTAGAACTATAATGGTTTGTGGGAATGACCTTGGGAGACAGGAGGAAGAGCTGCAGACTGAACAACCATCATGTAAAAGATGGGAGTGGGAAGTGTTTCAGAAAGGAACCTCCCTAGTTTTCTGGTTAGTAAAAGGAAAGGAGGGGAGAAATAT